GTTTTGAACTTTTTGTATAACAAATACCCAGCAAAAAATAAAATTACAATTATTCCTATCCCAACTCCAACACCAATACCAAAGAATAAACTATTATTTGATATAGAATTATCTGGAGAACTGCTAGATGTTGGTAAGGTTGTTGGTAAGGTTGTTGAATTAGGTTTTTGCAAAACAAAATTATTAGTGGTGTTGGAAAATAATGACCATTTATATATTAATGGATCTGATATATCCAATTTATAAATACAATCATTACTTTTGTTATTTGTAACATTTATGCCTTTAAAATAAAAATGTATATTAGTAATTGTTTGAATATCGAATAGAAATAAACAGCATCAGGGTGTAGTCCAAATTTCTGAAGATAACCAGCATTATGTAGAATTTGAACAGCAAATACAAAAAAAAAATTTAAAAAAAACTGCAGCCTAATTTTACATATAAAGCTGGTTTTAATTCTATTCTAAACAAACTCCGGTCAAGATTATTTATAAATATATAATTCCAGTAATTGAGAACTACACGCTGCTGTTATTTTTATCAAATATAAATGCAAAAAAATATTATAATTACCACAAGCTACAATCATATAGTTATTAACTATAATTGATGTATGCTGAGTTAATGGTCCAACATGATTTATTTCTGATGGTACTGACCACTCATAATTAGAAGTGTTCAGAACTACTAAAGATGGAGTAGCTGCTAGCATATTTCTCGTTCCACCATATATAATAACTCGTCCATCTGAAGCTAAAAATTAATAAAGTAAATAATAATACATTTGGGTTTTTTTTTGAATTCGTTAACACTTACTTGAAACAGCCGTAAATTCGCTACGCTGACTAGGTACTGCACCACTAGTATTCTATATAATTATATATAAAAAATTTAGTTACTGAGCCATTATTTAACATAATTAATAATTATAATATTTACAATAAGTTGCCATGAATTTGATATAATATCATATTCTAATACGTTGGTCATTAATGTCATAAGATTACTTTCATCATCTAAATATTCAAAAAAATATAATATTTTATTGCTTGACAATAAAACTTGAGGAGGACCATATAAAGTTGTAGTGATATAGGATTCATATATTTGTGGAATTGGTATGCTTTTTGAGCACAAAAAATTTACTGTATCAAAAATATCCACAACATTTGAAATGTCTTGAAGCGAATAAGCTTTTTTATTATATTTATTAGAAATCCAAGGTTTGAAATTTAAAAAATATTGACTA